TGTAATTCCACCTTCTATCATTTCCTGGGATATTTGATACCTCAACAGTGACACAAATAAAATAAGCATGTTTTATAAATGTCACGATGATGTTTTAAACAGATGTAATATTTATGAGGAGAAAGCGCAACATTGGTCATGTTGCGATCCAGTTCATTTTAAAAGCAAATATTTAAATCAATAATTAAATCCACACAGACATAATCATTAATGATGAGAAGAAAAAAAATCCAAAATGGTATATGGTATTATCACAAATATTAGTAGCATGTTGTGATTGTTGTTATTTGGAAGTAGGCTGTACAAATTATTATTCAGCTCCTCTGGCAAACATGTTTCTCAAACAATCAAAAGAGTATTTTTAACTTTAATTCATAGATTTAAGTGTTGGCATTAAGGGTAGCCCCGAGATTTAAATGTCTCATAATTTGCCATGACAACAAAGACAGTAACAACAAAGACACAAGACTTTAAAAATTCAATTCACTCAATAAACCAAAATTTCAACAAAGGGAAATGCGCCAAAAATGAGAACATTCTTGCAATTTACCTGTTTTGGATGATATTGGAAGAATGTTTGGATGGATCCTCCGGGAGACCATCTACTGTATTCCACTGTGCAGCACTTGATTCTCCCCCAAAAAACCGTTTTTAAATTTCCCTCTCTGGAGCTGTCCAAAGCGCGCTCATGCGCAGTGGAGAGCTGAAAGGCGCTCCCAGGCGGCCCGGGGGCAGGAGGATCCCATGACTTTGACAGCTGCTTCCAACAGTCCCATTCACTAACTTCACTGCAATATCGGGCCGGAAAGACACTTTGCAGATTTTCTTACTGTCTTTTACGAAGGGCGCAAACGCTGGCGCACACTTCCAGAGTACCATCGGTGGCCAAACACCAAGCTAGACTATTAAAATTACTCCAAACTCCATTCCTGACATTTTAGTCTCATTATGGAACCATTTATTTTTACATAAAATCTGATGCATACACTGCAACCTATTTTAAAAAAAAAACGTTTTCGTTCGAGCCGCACACGCGAGTTTTCAAAACGCAAAAATAAGTAAGGAAGCAAGGCCACGTAATTTTAAGGAAAAAAAAATACAAGAACGTATTATTCAATATTAAATATCCTCATTTGCTCCAATATGCTTCTGTCGGGTTACTCCATGAGAGGTCTAAGACGATGTGAGTCGCTACTTGTGGTGGCATCTGTGTATGTGATGGTGAACTGTTTTTTTTTTCTTTCTTTTTTTTTCCGAAGGGAAGTGCTTGAGGATCATTGCTTCCCGCCGTAGTGGCCGCGTCCTGTTCCTCTCAGCAGTGGGGAAAAAGAGCCCGGGAGGCGCGTGAAGGGAGGGCGGCTGGAGGAGGAGGGGGGGACAGGATGGATGAGCAGGTTCACTTCAGAAAATAGTTCAATGTGGAGGTTTACATATCGCCTGTCTTCTAAAGTGAGTCGTAAAATAGGAACGGTGACTCATCCCTCTCAGGAATAAAAATGTTTCTTTTGATTGTAAACTGCCATAGTGCGTACATGCACCATCGAATTCAGCAACGTGGGTGTACGATTTTACTCGAAAACAAAATTTTTTGATAAATCAATGGGAAGCGCTTCAATGAAAGGTGAGGGCATGGTATGTCATTTGCTATCTTACGATGGAGGTGGTGTTGTTGGAGCGGGGGATTCTTCAAAAGTCTGCAGTGACAGGACGTGAGCATCCCCATGAGAGCCCACAGATGGTAAATCGGTGTGTCACAAAGGAACAATCAATGATTACATGCATGAATGTAACGGACAAAAAAAATAAGACCTCACAGAGCACACCCCCAAGGTCCTAAAACCCGCAAAGTTCTGAACGCGTGCCACCAGTGGTTTACACCTCTATTGAGCTAAGGCGCACATCATTTCACATGAGACAAATATTTCGCACCACCAAACTCAAATGTCACAAAAGGTGGATACAGTACAAAGATTAATTATGTAAACTTCTGCCATCTAGTGGAAGAGATTTGAATTGTTTTGCTCTTTCACGATACGTCACTTGATGGATGAACAAATATACTGTACTTTATTTCCAGAAAAATAAGTAATGTTTTTCTTAGCTTGCAAGTAAAATTGGATATTTCTCTCTTTAAAAGCTGGTGACACTAATTAAAATATGGCCTTTCAAATGATGTACTCACGAAAACTTTAGGATCGTGGTTGATCGTTCTGTAAAGGGTGAACTCATGAAAAATTTGCATCTCTCATTTGATTGAACAAAATATCAGAAACACATTTCGGTTCTACAACACTATCGACGAAAGTACGATTGTCCGAATTAAAATATCAATCATCTTTGTTCAGGTTGAATTTTTGATACAGCAAGTGTATCGTTTTCAGTGTTTCCCAACTTTTACTGAGCCAAGGGCTCATACAGTGTTTTATAGAACCTCACGTTACACCATAAAAAAAATGTCAGAAAAGGTTCTGACTGAAATCATGAACTCGTCTCACTTTATTGACATAATGTATTTACTTACTCAGAGTGAAAGCTGTTTCTGTTTAGTTGAACTTTTGCTGCTGCTCTTTTTGTGTTGTATGAATGAAAATTAGGTGGATATACAGGTTAATTAGCACAGACACCGTAAATGAATTATTTGTACTAAATCTTTTTTTTTTTTGACTCATTAACTGAAACTGGATAATTCCCCGCTTCACATCTGATGGTCTCAATACTGTGATCACAGTGTTTAGTTATCAATGCATTAGATTGGACACCCAAAGCAACGTCCAGTAAGTGTATGTTGCACAACAGTTTTTTATTTATTTATTTATTTATTTTTTATGTTTGCAGCTGGTATCATGTCTGTCGTCAGGCAGTCAAATTGCAGGTCTCAAAAACATCAGTGATGTTTGGAGCAGCATTGAGTTGGCTATGTACGATACATTCAAGGCCACCAGCGCAAGAGAGCGTGAGGACTTCCTGCAGCTCAGTGACAAGAGTGACAGCTTTCCCTTCTCATGCCTGTTCGGGACTAATGGGGAAACAATGGGATCACAGCCTGAGGGCTGGCCCGTGTTTGTAGCCTGTCTTTTTGTCTTGCACCGAGTGTTTACTCAAAACACACCAGCACTTCTGAGAATGAGGTCAACTCACGACTTTAATCTCCTCTCTGGGCAGAGACCCCTCCACCCGCAAAGAGCAGCATATCACCCAGAGTGACCCAATGCCCACCCGGGATGAGCTGCTGTCAACTGTGCTTAAATGGAACTGGAGGCGCAAGTGTTCTGCTAAAGGCTGCTGAAAAGCCACAAACATCTTCGACTTGCGTGGGTCAGAGAGACGGTGAACCATTTAGTCAGCGTCAACATGTTGTGAGTTGGTCAGTTGCTCATCTACTCGGTCAGTCAGTCAGTCCATGTGGTGGCCAGCTGCTCATCCTGTCAGGTTGTCTCTCGGTCAGTCAGTCGGGTCTATTAGTTTGCCAATCTAGTCACTCTTGTCAGACTATGAGGAGGTTAGTCAGCCACCCACGTCAGTCAGTCAGGCAGTCAGTCACTCACTCACAGCCAGTTCAGACATCAGCAAATCAAACAGCAGGTTGGCCAGTCGGTAAATTAGTAATTTGGTCGGGTTGTCAGCTAGCCAATCAGAAAGTGAGTCAGTCAGTCAGTGAGTAGGTAAGTCGGCCAATCAGCAACGCTATTGGTCCGTCATCCGGCATTCATCTTCATGGCCTGGAAGATCACAGAAAAAAACTTCTTTTCAGTTCAGTTTACTGAGGTCAGATAGTGGTGTGGACGTTTGGTTGACCTTTGCTCTGAGGCGTGGTCAGTGTGCTTCACTGCTTCTGGAGCAAAAGTCCTGTTCATTTCGAAGTGCTGACTTAGTGGAAAATAGCCTCGGCCCTAAAAGAGCTCATGTAAGTTTTCATGTAGAGGGGACATGGTGTCTCCAAAGGGGGGGGCACCCAGAGGCCCCTTCGGCAGGAAGTTTGGATTTGTGTTTTTTTCAACAAAAAATGCTTTAAAAACTATTCAAATTATAATTGACATCAAAAGGATACATGGCATATGATTAGCAAATGTGTTTCAACTTCATCAAGTAACCTCTTTGACCCATCCCTTTAGATCTGAAGTCATGACGTTTGTTGCAGGGCTCTTCAAAATTTGAATCATAGATTACGAGAGTAGCGGCGATGGAAAGAAAGAAAAGAGAAGAAAGGAGATATTTGATCAAAGAATGAGATAGGAAGAGCGGGCAGAACAAAACCGAGAGGACAAAATGAGAGAAGGGCGCAGGAGCAGCCGTGGTGCGATGCGAGTGTTATCATCAGCTCTCATTCTCAGCATGGAATCTATAATGGGAAAATCAACCTCTATGACTCCTGTGTAATTGGATTTGCCGGGTCTCGTGCTGAATCAGAGCCCAGTGGGTAGCGCAAAGCTTGTTAAGATTGGACAAGCATTGCTGGACCACTCAGTCAGGGGAGAGGTGGGGCAAACCAAGGTAACCCTGACAACCTCTCTGGACCAGATTATTCAAAGAAGCCCAATCGCTCAATCATCTGAGTAGTTGACGAAAAGCTTTCCGATTGTCAATCAATCAATAAACGGGGACAGATACATTTCTTTCATATACGACATGCGAGTCAGTAGAGCAAAGAAAGTGGACACCTGTGGTTCCTTCGGTGTGTGTTTGTGTGTGCGTGTGTTTGCTTAATGGCCGTTACTGGGTAACAGCGGTAAACAGTTAATTCCGCCCACGTGGTCTCTCCTTGCAAGGGCTACCAGCTTCATATAATCATTACGGTTGAGTCTTTATTCCAGGGACAAAGGACGGTGATAGTGTTTTGAATAAATAAGGTTGCCGAAATGTTTGGACCCTCTCAGTCAACCTGTATCAGTAACACAAGATAATTTGTATGAACGTAATAATGAGGAGAAGAACTGAAGGTGGTCAAATCTGAGCAGTTTTCACCCAAGCAAAACGTTTTTGTTTTTGTTTTTCCGTAATGCTGAGTCATCAAGTGTGTCCTGTTGTATATCCAGACTGTTCGGCTAATCATAGATCAGTAACCAGACCAGGACGTTGGCACAGGGAGAAGGAGGAAGATTTAGGCTGGGTGGGCTTTTTAAAGTGTATAATGGACATCAGAGCTAACGTAGAAGAAGAAGAAGGTTAGAAAAGGAAGAAGCTGGAAAAAGATTAGGGGGCTGAAACTGAGTGGTTTGGATCCAGTTTCTGGGTGGTTACGCTACACTCAGCATAGAAGTAGACACTCAGGTAAGAAGTGAATAAGATATCTTGGTCCCTCCGCCTCCCACGGCATGAATGATTAAGCACCTGGTGCACTGTGGCCTAATTGTGGGTCAGGATTGGGCGGATGCGTGCATCGGCCTCCAAGCGGCAACACCTACGCAGCTTTTGCATAGGGCAGATTCAGAGGCACGTCGACTTCGCTAACTGTTTCACCGGGTGACCCAATGCAAGCAGACACAGGAGGACGGGCGATTTTGTCGAAAGGAAGTGTTTGCAAGTTTGGATCCTGATTGATGACGGCAAAACATACAACTTCGGACATGCAGGTTTGATTATTTATTGAATTTCTCTGTGGGTCAGTTCAGTTGTCATGACTTTACATTGAATTTAGTGAATGTTGGGTTTTAAAAAACATGTGCTCGTCATACACTTGATGGAACTTAATTGTAGCTACGACTTCATTGTTGGTACTACTTATTACATACAAGTATGCATGGTGGATGAAACTTCCCACTTCCTTGTTGGCAAATTGCTTGCATAATGCCTTGCATCTCCCTCCCCTCCGTTGAAGGCTGCTTCTCACATGGATGAGGTCACGCAGTCTCAGGCAACAGTGACACTCGAGACAAGATGAGGGAACGTCTCTTAATTACAATACAATGATCTGTGCAGCACTGACATGAGCTGACAAATACCCAGCACATGACCATTCATTCCACTGCTCACCAAATTGGGCTCATAAAATGCTTAATTGTCACGCAAATTGCAACCCAGTGCACTTGTATGCACAGGCATTTCTTTTTGTGGTTCCAAAGTTGAATGCTGAAAACATTGTGTTTTCATCTTCGGCTCTTTTTGTGTTTTGTGATGCCACCACATGACAGTGATGGCAAAGAGGTGAAGTCCATCCATTTTACGATCCACTTATCCTCACAAGGGTCACGGGGGTTGCTGGAGCCTATCCCAGCCGTCTTCGGGCAGTCGGTGGGGGACACCCTGAACGGTTGCCAGCTAATAAAGAGAAGTGTTATGTTTATATGGCATGATAACGCAATGATTCCAAGTGAAGACATATGATTTTACTGTTTAGATTAGGTCAATAAATATTTATTCTTCTCAACATTAAAAAAAAAAATCATCTGTGTGTGTGTGTGTGTGTGTGTATCTCTCTCTCTGTCTCTCTCTCTCTCTCTCTCTCTCTCTTTCTATATATATATATATATATATATATATATAGTGTCACATAATTGTGTTCGACTTTGGAGGCTCCACTCTATGTACACGATTAATGGCAAATCACATCTTGTCTGTCTTTATTAAAGACACAATCATATTCCCTCAGAAGAAGACAGCATTTAGGAGACCAACAAAAACACCAAAACCCTTTAAAAAAACGCTCAATGAAAACCCCAAACATTCGCATGATGATGACCATTGAATTCGTGAATCGTCCTCTTGACAGGAGCTTATCTGTCCACGTTATTACTTGTAATACTGTATGGCAGACCCCTAAGTCACGCTGTCCCACCATATTGTCTGCCTGTGCCGCCCCGAGAGATGTTTCTTCCTCCAAATAAAGGGGGTGTCAAAGAAACCAGACACCGGCATTGCCCCCATCACATCACCAGATTGATTCTGACGTCCCAGAAAGGGTTCCTTCAATGATATTGTTCACCTGTCTCGTTGGCTTAAAGTGGGTGGGGTGGGGCGGTTAAGGGTTAATGGCGGGGACACAGGGCCGGTGGGGCGGTTCAGGGGTATTGTCCAGGAAAAGGGGCGAGAGCATATAAGGGTGCAGAGGTTGACATGGAAAACCCCCCCCCATCTGACTGGCCTCTTCTCTCCTTCCAGTGGGGCCCCCCGGCAGAGTAATGAAGTCCAAATTACAGCACAGGATAACGAAGAACAAGCCTCTATTGTTGCCCCTCAGGGCGCACCAAATGAGTGTCACAGCAAGCAGCGGGGCACAGACCGTTACTGCACTATTTAGTCTGCCCCGTTGTCTCAAGACGGCCCTGTTTCAGAGCTTCTCAGATCAGACAAATAGTGCAGCCTTCACACCCGCCCTCCTCGCCCGCACCTCTTTCTCCAGCCTTCGCCTTCACCCTTCCTCTGTACAGCCCCCCCCCCCCCCCGTCCTCCCGAAGTCCTCGTCCCAAAATAGGCCAAATCTCCTCCATTGTGTTTCGACTGCCTAGTGTGAAATTCATTGTGACGTTAAATGTTTTCTAATGAATAATTACTGAATGGATATGCAGGGGGAATATGTGTAATGGATTGTAGACTGCATTTTAAAGACATCTTTTTTGTCTCTGCTTCGTGGTATTTACAGGACAAAAACACTTGGCCTTTCTCAGAAGAAATGAGGGCCATAGGCGAAGGATAGAGGGTAGGGTAGGAGGGAGTGAAGGGCTTTGTGTCAATTAGATCCAATGGATTATCTTTTTTTAAATGTTTTTACAGAGAGAATTGAGTATCAAAGGACTTCTGCTTCTAAAAGAGAGGAGGAGAAAATACAAAACCAACAAAAGCTGGGAAAACCTTTGGTCCTCGTGTTGGCGCTGAGAATGCAAAACAGATTGGTGGAATTTTTCCCACTATGCTTATGTGCCGCTGTTTTTCAGGGGGGCTCCCCATAGTCCCATTTCAACAGCGTGTTGTGATTGCTTGGCACATCAGCCCCGGTGAAACATGCGGGCCGGGGGCCAAGATGACCATAGCTTCTGTCTGCTCATGTGCGCAAACCGTGTTGTCTCAATGCCACATCGGACCTCTGGACCTGTGCACTCAATCGAGCTAACTTGCACCATGTTTGTGCTTTTTTTGGGGTGGGGGGGGCTGTTTTTTTTTTCCAGCTCCAATCTCCCCCATAAAGTCATTGAAACATTCTGTGACGAATGACAAATATATGGCAACGTTTGCGTTTTTTTGTGCTTGCAGAAATTTGTCACACTTGCTCTTGAGATTTTATTTATCCAGAAGTTGAACATTCAAGTTTAAATGCGCAGTTTTAGGATACGCTTGAGAAAAGTAGCTATATGTCTTGTGGCAGAGAGTTTTGAGGATTTTAATTTTCATGTGATTTGGAGTGGACGAGTAATTTTACGAGGAGTGGCGGCACTTGGGGCACCAAAAGGTTGGAGGATCAAAACTGAACAAAAAACCTCTTACCGAAAGAGCAAAATATAGAAGCTGAAAGTGGTTGCTGGAGGGAAGGAATTTTGATGAGCTTATTTGGTGAATGGGTGCAGTATGTTTTTAGTTAGAAATAACAAATGATGAACCTAGTATGTTCGATATGTATTTTGACAAAAAGTTGGTCTTTCTCTATAAATGCTTTTTCAAAATTCCAAAATGCACAAAACCGAATGAAATATAGAAATACTTTTGTTCCATTTACTCAAAATGGAAATGTTCTTTCAAACCACATTGAAGGACGCACAGAACAGGAAGTCAAGTGTTGACCGCAGTCTAGGCGCAATCAGATTATATCAGTTTGATAATCAAGACAAATACAAAATTGTTCCTCTCCGCTTCCACAAATCCCGGGGCTGCTTGAATGTGTTTTGCGCAGGTGGAGATGGACATGGAGGGCGCTCTGAATGCGAGGGACCAGGTCGGTATTCAAGACTTTGTTCTCCTGGATGAGACCTCGGAAGCAGCCTTCCTCAACAACCTCAAGAAACGTTTCAGCAAGGATCTCATTTATGTGAGTGAGATACCGAACTCTCGTCGGTGTGTTTTACTCATAAATGTTGTACAACTTTGACTCAACTCTTCCAGACCTACATTGGCACTCTGCTGGTCTCCGTAAACCCCTTCAAAGAGTTAGACATCTACAATAAGAAACAGATGGATTTGTACATGGGGGTCAACTTTTTTGAGCTTCCACCTCACATGTGAGTCGAAAAATGAATGTTGATAATATTTTGATTTAAACTTGACCTAACATTGTGCACGACTGCCCGTGCTTAGCTATGCTCTGGCCGACAACGCCTACCACACCATGCTGTCTGAGTTCAACAATCACTTCATCCTCATCTCGGGAGAAAGCGGAGCAGGGAAGACGGAAGCCTCTAAAAAGATTCTCCAGTATTACGCAGTCAGCTGTCCAAGCACCGCTCTGCTCAACACTGTCAGGGACAAGATGCTCATGTCCAACCCCGTCCTTGAGGTCTTATTTAATGCTCTATTATGCTGTGATGACACTTCGCAAAACATGTGAGGCTTGCGTGAATCATACAACTTGTGCCTCTGCGCAGGCTTTTGGGAATGCCAAAACACTGAAAAATGACAACTCGAGTCGGTTCGGAAAGTATATGGACATTCAGTTTGATAGTGAGGTAAGAAGGGTTCAATTTTGTTGATTGAAGCCCGCGATGTCTCTCAAGGGCTCCACGTCCCAAGCGTCGTCACGGACATTTCTGAAACCGTTGGATCCTGTGCAACAGGGGGATGCTGTCGGCGGCCACATTCTGAACTACCTGCTCGAAAAGTCAAGGGTGGTACATCAGAACCACGGGGAGAGAAACTTTCACATTTTCTACCAGCTCCTGGAGGGAGGAGAAGAGGACCTGCTGCACCAGCTGGGCCTTGAGAGAGACTGCCAGCATTACAGCTACCTAACACAAGTATGCGCAAGTGATCTCCAATGCGGGTCAATTTTATTTGCACATTTGCCAATTGTCACTTTGTCAACTCCCCGACAGGGAGAGTGCCCCGTTGTGCCTTCTATCAATGACAAAAATGACTGGAAGACAGTCAAAAATGCACTTCAAGTTATTGACATCGATGCAATCAACACGAACGTAAGTGAGGACTTTTCACTGGTGATTTCATTTCAAGTAAATCATTTGAACGGCCTTGCAAATTGTGCGCAGCACTTGTTTGGGATTGTTGCGAGTGTTCTTCACCTGGGCAACGTTAAGTTTGAGCCTGACGGTAAAGGTCATGCTACTCTCAACAACAAAAATGCAGAGTTGCGCTGGGTGTCAAATGTAAGAAATCTACACACAAAAAATGAACGACTTTCAGAACAAGACCCAAAAAAGGTTCAGTTGGTTCGTGTCATATCATTGCAGCTCCTTGGAATTGATGCTCACAGTCTACAAGAAGGACTAACATACAGGAAGATTGAAGCCAAAACGGACCAGGTGTGACTCTTAAATCACTTTGTAATTAAAAATTGACTGCTTATACGATATTTGACTTCCTCTCAAGGTGCTCAGTCCGTTTACTGTGGATCACGCCGTCTTTGTGCGCGATGCCCTGGCCAAGGCCATATATGGACATACCTTTACCTGGCTGGTAAACAGGATAAATGAGTCCATGGAGAACACTGTGAGCTCATGAAAAGTGTGACATCTTGTGTCAAACACGATGACATTTCATAACTATCGTTATTATTTTAATTTTCAGGATCCTTTGAGAAAAACTGTCATTGGACTTTTGGACATCTACGGTTTTGAGGTTTTTAATATTAACAGGTAGGCCACTTTGGCCTTGCTTATGCTTCACAAGTAGAAATGTTATTTATGTAGAAATTTTGCATGTCAGTATGTTTGTGTGTATGCCAAAAAAAAAAACCTCTTAGATCTCAGAAATACTTGTTAAAAGTTACCAAAATACTCTTTATAAATAATTTCTAAATACTCTTTAAAAGTTATCCCAACACTCTTAAACCAACTGAAATACTACTTAAAAGTTCAACAATCTGAAGTTTTAAATTACAGACCATGAGTTGACAGGGGAATAGATTTTGATTTAGATTTGTTGTTTACAGTTTTGAGAAACAAAAGCATGACCATCCACTACGATCTCTTACTTGTGTTTTTTTCCCCCCTTCAGTTTTGAGCAGTTCTGCATAAACTACTGCAATGAGAAGCTGCAACAACTTTTCATCCAGCTCACGCTCAAGGCGGAGCAGGAGGAATACCAAGCGGAAGATATTGAGGTACGCCGATTCAACTCCAAAGTAAAACGTGCATTAACGCTGGTTTGCAGTTGAATAGAGTTCCGCTCACACGTGGTTCTCCTCAGTGGGAGCCGGTGCAGTTCTTCAACAACAAGATCATCTGCGACCTCGTGGAGGAGAGACACAGGGGAATTATATCAGTCCTGGTATGCGCTCGCTCGAATAAACATACAATCCTGACCTCAGTGGGGGGGGGAAATTATTGCGCGCGACTGATTCTGAACCTACAGGATGAGGAGTGTCTGAGGCCAGGAGAGGCTACAGATCTCACTTTCCTGGAGAGACTGGAGGAAAAAATGGGAAATCACCCCCACTTTGTCTCGTGAGTTCACATCACGCTGAAATGTCACTTTGTTGAAATCTACGGTTTAAACTTTCATCTGCTGCCGAGAGGCTAATGAGTGGGCTGGCAGAAAGTCCTCATCTGTCCTCATCCTCTTCCCACCTTGGAGTGTAGACACAAGCTGGCAGACAAAAAGACACGTAGGACGCTGGAGAGAGGAGATTTTCGTCTCTTGCATTATGCCGGAGAGGTCACCTATTGTGTTGTGGGTAAATTAAAGCGCAACCGACACGTTAGCGTTCAAAGAGCTAAATATTGTGTTGAGCGAAGCCCCTAAAATGGTATGATGTCTTTTGTAGGTTTTCTGGATAAAAATAATGACCTCTTATATCAAAATATTAAAGATGTAAGTATGCCACTTGATTTTATTTTTTTTAAATAATTGAAAACTCATGACTCCGTATTATCTTTTAGAATTTGAATAGAAATGTTTGATCATTTGAATTATCCAGTTAGGCATGTCAACCTCTCGGTGTTTTTTTTTTTTTTCCTGTGTGTGTTCTCCCACCTTCTCCCAGCTGATATGGCAATCAAAAAACAGTATCGTTAGGCAATGCTTCACTTCCACGGACACAGACAGCAAGCGAAGACCAGAAACTGTAAGTTCCCTATCACGACAATGTCAAAAACAGTGTCGGCTAAGTAAGATAACGCCCAGCAACTACTGCCGGTGACAGTGTGCCATCTCATCTTCAAGCCATGTGCACCTGACAGACGAACTGTTGACTCGGCATTATGAGCCGCATTCTGTATTTAGGTGGCCACCCAGTTTAAGAGCAGCCTGCTGAAGCTGACAGAGATCCTCGTGGCCAAAGACGCCTGGTATATACGTTGCCTGAAATCCAATGAGTCCAGGAAGTCAGGTACTTTTATTAATTATTTTTTGAAAAGGAGATGCAAAATGAATTTTTCACTTAGCCTCCTTCGCTAACCCAGGACAGTTTGATGAAGCTCTCATCAGACATCAGATCAAATATTTGGGCCTGATGCAGCACCTGAGAGTCAGACGTGCTGGTTTCGCTTACAGGCGGAAGTATGACGTCTTTTTACAGCGGTATGAAGATTTGGACAGCGTGCCAATGGCGACTTTATGATTCCTTGTATAGCATACATTATGCTGATGCAAATTTATGATACGCTGAACAGATATAAAGCTTTGTGCCCAGCCACTTGGCCACATTGGAGAGGAGAACCTGCTGATGGCGTGTTGGTGCTGGTTCAACATCTGGGCTATTTTCCAAATGAGTACAAAATGGGAAGGTCAGAAAAATATCTTCACTTAATGTCATTTGTTGGCCCGAGTTCAACTTTGATTATGGAATATATTCGCAGTGTCAGCATTTATTTTTGTCCATAGTTACATTGAGTGGGAACATTGTGTGAAGTCGTATCAAGTACATCCCAAAGATTCTCAATGCGGTTTAATTCTGGACTCTATTGTTGGCCATCATCCCAAAAAAAATGATGTCAAATGCTTCCTCAGCTGTTCTTTTAGTATTTGAGCCCCACTTATCCTTGCTTTGTGATCTTGGAATACTGCATGTCATCGACAAACCTCATTTCCATTTTTTTCTAGCTCGTTATTTCAGGCCCTCTCACTCACAGATTCGTTGGCCTGCTCTCCTCTGCGAAAATACCAACATCGAGTTGAACCCGCCTCTGCACAGAGCCATGCGGAGAAAAATAGAGGCCTATATGTTTGATTCTAATTTACCCGACTACACCTTGATAGTTAAAATTTAAGGTGAATATGTTTCATGATTTTTTGATTTCATTAGAACCAAAATATTCATCCGCCATCCAAGAACCCTGTATGCCACAGAGGATGCTTTTGAAAAATGCAAACATCAATTGGGTGAGAGCAAATCCAATTATGTACATCATAATCAAGGCTTCAGCAGTTTGCACATTCAATGAATGTTTCTTTCCGTTTCAGCAACCAGACTCCAAGCCAAATACAAAGGCTACAGGGCAAAGGGCGAGTTCCGAAAACAGAAGGAGGCTGGTACATGCTTGACGCATACCTGAAGTAATGTGTGATTTGGAGCATATAAATTATTCCACTTTTTTTTTTTTTTTTAATGCCCACAGCAACGAAGATTGAGACGTGCTGGAGAGGAGTGCAGGCAAGGAAGGAGAGAGACAAGAGAGCGTGGGCTGTGAAAGTCATTAAACAGTAAGAAAACAAGCTGAGAATATCACACTCATCTCATTGCAAGAGAATTGTAAAACATTTTTCGATACGCCATTTTATTTTATAGATTTATCAAAGGTTATATGACCAGAGGGCAAGCAAAAGTCACAGATAACTCTGAGTATTTGGCCTTTGTGAGGCAGAATTACCTGAACAGGCTCAAAGAAAACTTGCCAAAGACGGTTTTGGATAAAACCACGTGGCTCTCTCCGCCACAAGTGCTAGTCGAGGTAAACAGAAACAAGATTGACGTAAAAATTGAATACATGTTACATGCCAGTCAACCTTTGTATGTTCTTCCCACTCCAGACGTCAGAAATACTTCGTAAACTGCACTACCGCCTCATGGTGAGAAAATACGTAAGAGGGATCACACCCCAGAGAAAAACACAGGTAACAAACAAAGTTAAATAAAACTTCCGTTTCTTTATTAGCATCATCATCATCCATACCTGTCAACTCATACGGTTTAGCCATAGTTCATACGGATTTTGTGGTGAATCTTACGTATATGGCCATATCGAACAAATCATACGGATTCTGAAAATTTCCGTTTTTTTTTTTTTTTTTCCCCCCTAACAGGTAGTTCCGTTTGCTTTTGCCCAGAATAGTGCTAGTCTACTCGAATGCTTTCATTTCCGGTAACTTTCCAGTAAATCACGTGGTTCCTAGTTGAAAACAGCAGAGTATTCATTGCATACTTCGGTAGTGTACAAGCAAGTTCTACAAGGAAACAAATATATCATTCATATTTCGTGGGGTTTTTTCTGCCGTTATTTTGACATATAAAATGCTTTGGCATGTTATAAGGATTTTTTGCTCTTTATAAGGATTTTTTTGGTAGTTTATACAGGTTGGCGCTCCGAAAAGTTGACAGGTATGATCATCATTATTATTATTCAGTTATTGCAATTTCCTGTTTTTTTTTTTTTTTTTTTTTTTTTAGCTTCAAATGAAGTTCATTGCCAGCTCCATGTTCAAGGGGAAAAAGGAAAGTTACCCGCAAAGTGTTGCTCAATCTTTTGCGGAAACCAGAATCAGTGAGTGAGAGACCTTTATCGTTAAAATAATCAGGCAAGCACTGCTATCATGGAACTCATGAAAACAATTATTTGTTATGTGTGGATCAAACTGGTAGCCCTTCACATTAAGTACCCAAAAAGTTGCTCTCAATTTCAAAAATGTGAGCCCTGATTGAGAGTTTCCAATGAACCTAACAAGAATGTTTGTGTAATTCTGGAGAAAGTCAGAGTAATGGAGAAAAATGCATGCTGGCACATGCAAACTCATCACAGGAAAATCAAGATTCAAACCTGGGACCTCTCGAATGTGTGAGTTGATGTGCTAACCACTATCGCTAACCACATCTTTATTTAAATGGTGGTTTCCCAACTGGTGCAGCTGTAACAAAGCGCTTGACAGAACATCTACAACATCTGAAATCTGCGTAGCCCCAGTTAAGCCCTACAGCATTCTATTTGATATTCTACATTTATAAATTATTTTCCTTCTGTCTTATCGCTTTAGGTGAGCGAGACATCAATGCGAGGGTCCTTCAAATGATTCGCAATGAGCACATCAAGGTAAAAAAAAAAAGAGCTGTTGTTGTTGTTTTTTCTGCTGATTGTCTATAATCAAATCCATTCTCCTGCGATGGGATTTATATTTCTGCAGTACAGCGTCCCGATGATTAAATACGACAGGAACGGTTTCAAAACGAGGCCGCGACAGCTCATCTTCACCCAGGCGGCGGCCTACATGGTGGAGGACACAAGGATCAAACAGAGGATTTTGTACACCGCTCTCAAAGGTCACCATTGTTGTCACCTACACAACTTCCATTGCGATTTCCTGTTCAACTCTTTAAGTTTATGGACCATCTCCCATTGTAGGGATTTCTGTCAGTAATTTGACAGACAGTATCATTGTGTTACACGTAGCGTGTGAGGATCCCAAAGAAAAGGTACAGAATATATCATAGCTTCATATTGTCCGCTATTTTTACAAAGATAACAAACCACACTTCACATCAAAATTGTCCAAATTCTTCTAACATGATAAATGAGGGCCATTGTGTTTCAGGGAGATCTTGTCATGCAGTGCAACCACTTGTTTGAGCTGGTGACCAAACTCAGCATCATTGCTAACAAACAGAACGTGGTCAGGGTGGCTCAGGGCAGGTAAGATACAACATGGAAAGAGAAAGAGTAGATTCCAATACAGTCGATACGATATGGGTGAGCTTATCAAAGTGTTTGCGTTTGCATTGTGTGCAGCATCAAGATGGAAATTCAGGCCGGAAGAGAGAGCGTAATAGAATTCAGCACCGGCCCGGAGCCGAACGTGTACAAGGCCAAGAACGGACACCTCATGGTGGTGCGTTCACGTTGTCATCACGACCTTTTGCACCATATATGGCAAGGCTTTTGAGTTTTAGGCAGGGGAAGTACTTACCGGAATCAGCAACATTTCATTTGTCATTTCAGGTTGCCACTCGGGCCAGGCCGAGGTAACATGAGGGGCAGACGAGACACACAAGAGGCCCCTGCATATTTCATCAGAAACCCCAAAAGCTGGATCAACATGGCCACAGGAGACACGTCTGACCTCAGAGTTTTATGCACTTTAGGATGGGCCTATTTGATGAAATATCACCTCTCACTGCTTCATTTTACATTCGTACATCAGACACTTTAATGATCTATTACCCTCTTTTTTTTAACCCATTCACGTGCATAAGCTATGTATGCAATCTATTACTACATGAGGTATTAACATAACTGTTTATGGTTGTAGTTGCATTGCAGAAGTGTCTCGAATATTTTGCCATGTCGCTAAATAAAGTCAGAAAGAGTGTAATGTAGCGCCACTACAATCACGAACATATTGCACAAATTAAAAACTCAGCGTTCTTTGTCAAGGCAGAATTTTAAGCTTTCGCATAGACCTCATGACATTGTGCTTGTGTCTCTTATTGTGTACATTAGAAGCTTTGTATATTTCCGAGCAATTAGAGAATGCAAAATAAAAATGGATGCAATTATTTCATTTGTAGAAATTTATTTGAGATGTATAAATATAAAACGTATATGTTCACTTCTGTACAATAAATCTACGAGTGATTGTTACACATATCCATTTATAACTGTGCAAAACCGAACTTTCTGTGATGAGTGACTGATGTAATTTCTGTCCTTGTTAAAAAACATGTCCGCAGGACTCTGTTCCTCCTCTGGTTACACTCATTCACTCCCACCTCAGCATCCATCCATCCATCCATCACGAAGTCCATAGAACACCTGAGGTGAGGACTCATGTTGCCACCATACAAAAGGAGAATTTTGTGACGTCGACAAAAATTGACAACGTGTTCAAACTAAATATGGTGGAAAGATTTTATCCACCTGTGTGTATTGAAAGATACAAAGCAATACAAAAAAAAAGTCTAAGAATAACACAGTGCCATCTTGTGGCCTTTTTGTGATCACCATTTGGGTCATTCACCGACTAATCAGTGAAGCAATCAAAGCCACAGGGAGAGAAAAGATTACGCAATACAGCAATACATTTGTAGCTGCTTTCATCATAATTCTTGATCTCCTTAGGACCACTTGTGATAAATACACAAACAACACACAACGTTAGATGAAACCACTGTGAACTATCAACGATGAATATGAGCTCCTGCACGCAAACGAGAACCGTGATACAAGTGAACAAACGGTGCAGTCAGCCAGTCCGTCAGTCAGTCAGACCACGACAAAGGCGACACAGTGGGCATAATAACTGCACAGCTACACACGAATACAGTCTCCTGGTAATGAATGTAAGAGGCGCTGTTGAGGGAAGGTGTAAGGCACGGGTGCGGTACAAGGCCTCAGCTAAGACGGGTGGGAGGTCACTGGTGGTGGTGTGTGCGGTCGTCGGGTCGTTTGATATGGATCCTACGAACTCGCTCAATTCGTTCTCGCTCATCATCTTCGTCCAGATGGTGGGATCGTCCGGCAGCGCCCCCTGTTGCCTCCAGCAGAGCGTTGTCCGGCCCCCTCCCATCATGGGATTCGTATAGAAGGATATTGAGGGTCTCCTCATAGATGCGAGCTTCAGGGAACTCCACCTGGCATGCAAACGTTCATAAAATATTAGCGAGAGCAGACATTTGGAAGTGGAGAAGCCAGTTTTAAAAAGACAGACTTCGAAGTAGACCTCCACCATGGGGTTTGTATCTATAAAATGGTTGGTCAGATATTTCAAACAATAAGGGCTAGCTTGCCAGCTAACATCAGCTACATAGCATGCTATCCATTTCACATTCAGGAAAGTATGTCTATGCCATTTATCCAAGCAACAGAAGTCAATTAATTAGCCAGTTCATCAATAATCATGTTTGTGTAAACTTTCCCATCTATTGTTGAATCAACTTACCCGTTGAAATATACATTTCCGACCAGTGTTCTTTTGCATGCAGGTACCTCACATAACATCTTTTGAACTGACATTTCATACTCAAAATACAACAGTAGAGAAGAAGGCTAAAGTCATCAACCAAGCCATTTTAGCCTAACTTCTCGATTGCTGCGCTTTGCTCAAATGACATGTGACACCATGGTGAAAAGGGTCTATAGGGGTGCAAAGTCATTTTCGTCACCTTTGTCTGCTTCTTTTCGGTGGCATAAACAATGGAGGTGCAGCACACTTCAGCTATCTTACGGCCCTGCCCGTAGAAGGACCAGCAGCAGATCTCATCCCCGATCACATCTTTGATGAAGAGTACACGGCCATTGAACCGCAGCGACAGCTTGTCAAACAGCTCAATATTTTTCAGCATGTTGTCGTCAGAATTGCTGAGGGGAAAAAAAAAGTTTTTTAAACGAGCACGCTCTAATATACATCCAGTGTGAATCATGAAACGCGTTCCTTAAGAAGAGTCAAGCGCTTCGGATTGAAGACTCACCTGGTGTAGGAATATTTGTTATTGCTTCTGTTATACAGCAGTTTGACTGTAGGCTGGGAAGACACAATAAATGTGTTTCAAGCAACTGGCAAAACGGTCTTGGTTTGGAATACCATGATGCTAGATACCTTATTTGAAGTTGCAATAAGCTTCTGCTCCTCCTTGGATGATGTCATGAGAGGCACTTTACATAGAGGCTCATATGTTTCTTTGTTCTGTAGGACAAGGGATTTTTTTTTTAATTAAAAACTTTTGGTTACAAACACAACATGAACAAGTTAAGAGCGCCACCTGGTGAAATAGATGAGAAAATATGCAAACCATAGAAGCGAATCCCATTTCAGATATAAGAGTCACTCTAAAACGATTAGGGTGTGGGGACAAGGCGTGCGGTCATCTGTGGAGTTCACAATGATAGGAAGTACCTGCAAGGCAGCCGTGCATTCATCGGCAAGGCCTTGGACAAGATAATACTTGGCTTCTGCAAGCAGCTCCTCGGTTTCCCGCCGGCTGTCTGGCAGCGGAACTGCTCCATCTCTCAGGTAGTTCAAGATCGTTCCGAAATGTTTGCCACAGCGATCAATCAAAATCCAACCTTGACAAGAAACGAAAGAGCGTTTTACAAAGTCAATTGTTGATTGGACTGAAACACCGCTCAGAACCTTTAGCAAACGTTGTCCTTCAATTAACACTCTATGATTGACTCTCTTTGTCAACCAGCATCCCAGAACAGATTGCATCCGACTTTGAGGATCTCATTGTATTTAGATTGCCTCTTACATGAGAGCCCAAACAAATGCTTTTTGTTCATGATTATTTGAAGTACATTCACTTTTCGATATTGAATGGGCACCATTCTATTTTATTGAGATCCACTTGTAGGTATGCATTTTTAGAGCAGCTCACCTTCACTGTCAGTGAGGACCTCCATCCTGCCACTGAACATGGCTTTCAGCATGGTGTCTTGTTTGGTCAGAGTCTGCATTGTTGTGTAGTATAGGGCCCCACCCACATTTAACTTCACATATTTTGAGCTGGGGCTGGAACCTTTAAACGATGTGGTCCGGGTTGTAGCTGCCGGCACTGGCGGGCTCACGGCACTCTCTCCTGACATCTCTTCCTGAAACACAATGCGACAGAACAATTGTGGTTGTATTGCCCTCTCAATGTGTTAACTGTTAACTAAATGGTGACAATTGGGATATTCGTTTCATTCGTATGATGTCAATAGCTATGACAAATGTATTATGAACAGAAATATCAAGGACATGTTAGAATGAGCAACAGTGTCAGTTTTTCTTTCTCACATTTCCAAACAACACACAAATAAATATGTTAGAATTCAATTATTATTGTGCATTCCCTTACTTTATGGATAGTTAGAGTAATTATTGTAATTACAGTTGTATTCATTACTTTAAAGGTACGGCATTTCTAAACGCGTTTGATACAAAATTCAACCCAAAAGGAAATACATGTCACCAAACACATTTAACGTTGAGTTATAGATCAGTCGTTTATTTACTGTGAACGGTAAAATACATTTAGGATCGGCCCATTTCTTAATTAGGTTTGGCGACTACTGGTCGACCCTTTTCATTTCCCCTTTCATCATTCCGTTCACGTTAGTCTTAGTTTCGACTAAAAAATACATAGCGACGAAGGGGAAATACGGGCAATTGAAGACTACATCACACATTAAATGTCTATTGTTTTTAGAGAACAGAATGAGCACCTTGGGTTGGCCATCTCCTTCCTGTCCACCAATTGAAAAACTAAGTAATTTGATTTAGGAAGGAAAGGCTAGCGCGCTAGCTCCTTGATATTTAAATGATATTTCTGTCATCAAACAAGAATACAAGAACATAATGCCAATCGGAATTGATTCAGCGTTCTATACATAAACCGAGTGGTGGCGTTGTGAGATTTAAAATGAAAAAGAGGATCATATTTACCATAGAAGCCAAGGCAGACTTGGTATATGTAGCTTGCTAACCTACGTCAGCTTACACCCACCTTTTTCCGGTCCAAGGCTGCGCAGTTGAAAATGACGTCACCATTCCATTTTACTCCTTAAAGGCACAGTTTCATTATTTTGGGTTTTAACGTAGTAAACCATTATATGTATAACTAGGACATGTGTGCATCAGTAGCAACACACGCATTGTATATCACCCCATAATGGTTCAGTAAATAATATTATTAGGTATAATTCCGCTATGGAGGAGTAACACTACTAATGGTAGGTAGCCACTCGCTACCACGCTAATCTAAAGGCTTCATTACCCACCAGATAACCTGAGTTGGATTTTCCATCTCATCATGGTGAATGTTTTTGCAAATCACGCTGATTAAGTAGATAAATATTACTGCAAAAATTATTCATATTGAGAGGTGAGTGCTACCCGGAAACAATTCAATGCGACACAGCGGATTAATGGTTTCAAGTCGTGTTCGGATCGCCTCTCATTGTTTACATATTAAAGTGATATGCAGCTCCTATTTCTGAGACTGTCATCTGCAGAGGGATTAACCATAATCTTGTAATGATGATAATTATCTTCAAAACAAGGTGAGAAGCTCAACCGTGAGACGGTATTTATTTTACGCTATTTATCTCGAACTAGCCATGGATGCTAACTATTTCAGCTCCTTTATCAGTATGTCGCGCGTTTATGCAGAGATGACGAGTTAGTCCACACTGTTAATCAGCTTTTGCTGCTGCTGCTCGAACCCCATTATGGAGGTGTAGCACCAGGTGAGCCTTCTTGGCAAATATAAGATCCTATAACGAGAACTTCTGCACTGGAGGTAAGTGTTGTGAGCACATATCAACATATATACTCCCTCGTTCGATATGGCACATGTCAACGATTAAATGTCCTCTTCCTTAGCTAGGGTGCACAATGTTTGGTGCACCGCAAAGCTCGAAGTCCGAATTCCTGGATAAAGCGAGGCAGGCCAGAGAGGAGAGGAAAGGACAGAAGGAGAAGGAGAGAGCAGCAATCCTCATCCAAGCTCTGGTCAGACGATTTCTATGTCGCTGCAGACTCCAGAAACAAATAAGGTTCTCTTTACCCTACTGTGTCCTTGCAAAACAAACATTACTTCTCCAAGATATACCGTGCATTAAGTAAATATTTATATTTGTTGTTTCACCAGGAAAGACATTGATGACTATTTTGAGTCTTCTGCTGCAACATCAAAAAGAAATGCACTTTCAATTTTTAAAATTGCTCGTAAATTACTATTCATTTTCCACTCGGAGGATAAGATGGTGAGTATAACCATGATCAATGTTGTTTCCTTTTTCTAGTTTTACAGAAGTGTTGTGTGGTCATTATGAGGATTATTTGATACATACAGTGACCAGCCACACAATTAAGACACACAACACATATTTAGAGCAATACAAAAGTTGTACTGAAAATACCTTTGGAATGAAAAGAGTTCTATTTTATATGATTGAGTATGAGGTGGCATGGCTCAAGTGGTTGTCTCACGACCTGTAGTTGATGGATTCAGCCCTAAGCTCTTGTGACCATGTAAAATTGTCCTTCACCAATATACTGAACTCTCAGTTGCTCCTGATACCGCATCAACCAGTAGGTGAATGAGGAGGCAGTGTTAAAGCGCTTTGAGTACCTTGACGTTAGAAAAGCGTTATATAAGTGAAAGTCCTTTTACCATTCGTTTGCTATTGTAGCTTGCAATGGTGTAAACCTGCAATGCATCATCATGAAGGTGGTTTCGAATATTTTGATCACCTCATCTTTCCAAATACTCGAAACAACTCCTAGTTTGATTTTGTGCAGTTTTACAGCAATATAAATTAACACAAACAAAAACATGCATCTTCATCTGAAAGCAGAATCTTACATTGAATCCCATTTCATTGTAGTCTTTGTTGTTATCGAGTTGTCATTCAAGTTGTGGTTGATATTGTGGCAGTTTTTCATCTTTAATTTTGCTTTTTGAACAGAGGTTTGAAAAGCTCTGTCGGGCTATTCTTACCAGCATGGAAGTTGAAAACGAGCCTAAAGTAAGTGTTTTTAACTTTGTATTCCTGCCAAACAACTTGACATGTGAGTTTATATCCTATTGATTGTTTTCACTGTTGGTTCTCAGGTCTGGTATGTGTCTTTGGCGCTCTCCAAAGATCTCACAATCCCTTGGCTGAAACAGATTAAAGATGTGCTGTGGACCTGCTGTCAACTACTGAAAAATTTAAAGGTTAGTCGAGGCTTGAAGATAAGTCTTGAAGCTATTAGGTCACATGATGCATTTGTTTTGTGATTCCCAGCCTGATATACTGCAGGACAACAAATTGGTCACACTTTACCTCACCATGCTGGTCACATTCACAGACACATCAACGTGGCGAATTGTGAGAGGGAAGGGTAGGTCCGGAGTCGCACGAGCAACATTATTTTTTCTGATATTGTCAGGCATAATGTTTTTTTTCCCCTCCTCTTTGTGTTAGGAGAAGCTCTCCGACCTGCTTTGACGAGAATCTGTGAGAATATTATGGGCTATCTCAATCAAAAAGGATTCTATTCAACACTCCAGGTTCTGTATCACGTGCAAAATTCACTCCTTTGCACCAATATTTAGTCCACCTGCATAAAGAAATGAAATAGAATCGAATCAGGGTTTGAGTCAATCAATACATCCCTAATGTCCTTATTATAAAGTCTTACTACATATTTTTTAATTAATACTTTTCCAATCTGTCTTCATCAAAACTGCATGACTGATCCTTTTTAAAGGCAGAATGTAGTTGTTTTATTCGGGTTATAAAGTGGATTGTCTTGTGCTCAGTTCTGCTCATTACAAATTTGTGATACAGTTTTTGTCGATAAAGTACTGCCAGTTGCCATTAAGGACATATTTCTTTCTTTTCTAGATTTTGCTGACCAACGGCTTGGCTCGTTCGAAACCAGCTCTCTCAAAAGGCACTTTAACAGCTATCTTTACCCTGTCGCTAAGGTGAGTGAGGTGACATGGGGTGAGCTGAAGTTTGAAGCGGAAAAAAAAAAAGACAGATTGATTGGCACAATAATGGCCAAAATAATAATTCTGATTGCTTTGGGTTAATTTTGTAAACAGGATTATTAATAATAAGTATTGATCATGTGAGGTAAAATGTCTGTACTTTTAATCACACTATCACCTTGTTGATTTGGCTGACTGCTGGTTGAGAAAGTGCATATCGCTGACGATCAGGTTAATGTAATTCTGGCGGCTTAAACTGTGGTCACGATTGAAATTTACAAGTGTATTTTGAAGAACAGTTTTTACCCCATACTTGTTCAAAAAAAAAGTTCGATTCATTGTTAAGCAATGATTGATGTAATTTCCTCTCTGCGCTGTTTTAAATTTTTTTTTTTCTTGTAATATCAGACCAGTCATCGCTGCTCACTTCTCAGACAACCTGCTCAGATCATTCCTCATTCACATCATGTCAGTTCCGGCTGTGACGTCGCACCTGTGTATGCTCACTCCAGAGGTACGAAGCCAGCTATGAATCACGTCAATAACATATTTAAAGATACAGGTTTTAACGTTGCCCCCTTTTGCAACAGTGTGTTACTCTGATCCAGACTCATGGCCTTTTAAAGAAGTTTATCCTGTTTCTCAGCCGTGAGGAGCAGTGTTCTGATATCTGCGTGTGTCTTGAGGGGAGTCACACACTCTGCCTACTTGGTACAGTATTTGAGGCATTGTGCTCAGCCAGATGATACTTTTAAGGTGAGAGAATAATTCAATTCCTCTCCCTCCGTGTCAATTTAGGTAACCTGATTCACTTGGGCTTCCTTAATGAGCGAATCATAGAGGAGGAGACCAATCGCTTTGTGAAGGACCTGACTGACATGCTGTCCTACTGCCAGAGATATGTGTCCCAAAAGAAATCGAACCTCACCCACTGGCACCCAGTCCTGGGCTGGTTCTCCCAAACAGTAGATTATGGGTGAGTAATAGAGACGTTTTATTCAGGTTTAGCTTTCCCTTGAAAAGGAAGCGGATACTTTAAAAAGGGTAATCTTCACCTGGTTGAGGTTAGTGGTTCGAATCTCACCCTTTCTGTGTGGACTCCAGGCATAATGTGTGTTAAGGTATAAATCCCAGAAAATGTCAAATGTTAAATATTCAGTTCGATTTTATACTGGGAAAAAAAAAACCCAAACTCACAACATAAAAAAAGTAACTTCACACAAATAATATTTTCTTTAAGGCTTCATTAATACAGTACAAAGACACTAAATGCAAAATAATTGAAACTTATCGTAGTACCGGAAAATCAAGAATATACAGGGCTAAAAAGACTTAACGTGGGACACTGTTTAAAAAAAAAAGCAAAAGAAAATGTACCAACTGTAACACTTAGATTTTGTTTTTCACTAGATAGTACACATTCGTGCTGACCTTTAGACTATATTTTCCTTAAAATCCCATTTATTTTGAATTATGTATTTTCGAGTGTTGAAGTCCCGCGGGCCAACTATTGGACTGATCATTAAGAACAGAATGCATTTGGCTGCTTCAGCACACAACGTCTAATATTTAACACAACCACAAATTATTCATGTTGGTGAATTTCACAGTGGTTTAGAACTGCCCTGCATCAGACTGAGAGGTGTGTTTAATATTACTGTAGCCTTTAGCATGTAGCCGAATACGAAAACTTTGTATGATGCAATGCGGTTTTATTCAACAACAAAAATATTATAGAGCCAGTTTAAATACAAATGTCATCTTTTTCTCTCAGGTTGAGAGTTAAGGTGAATAAAAGCATTTTCAATGCAGCTACAGTATTATATTGTATTAGCTTAATACAGGTTTATACGATGTCATGACCACTGAGTAGAGGCACCGACTTTATTTTAACATGCTGAAATTCTCATTTGCTCCTCTGTTTCTTGCAGTCTTAACGAATCAATGCCGCTGGTCACCAAGCAGCTGCAGTATCTGTGGGGTGTGCCTGTCATTCGGACCCTCTTCAGTGACGTCCTCTCGAAGAAGCTCGAAAGTCAGGAGCCCACTCCCTCACCTGCACAGCCAAGCACATCACAAAACAACCTGCCCGTTAAAAGTGGGTCATGAATCCAAATCTGACTGTTTTATTTCATGGTTGTCTTTGGCGTGAAAGGTCATGGACGCAAGAATCAATTGCTCTCCTCAACAGGCCTTTTTAAGCGAGCTTTTCAGAAGTCCGCTTCTGTGCGAAACATTTTGAAGCCGGTCGGCGGGAAGCGAGTGGACTCGGCTGAAGTTCAGAAGGTGTGCAGCATTTGTGTGCTCTACCAAACTGCTCTCTCCACGCTGACGCAAATAAGACTCCAAATTCTCACCGGTGAGTACGCTAGCCAGTATATATGTCGAACTATTTGGAAGCGTATAACAGGACAGTCACTACGTCGCGTTTCCAATGTGCAGGTCTGACACATCTCGACGATCTCCTGCCCAAGTTGTGGGCTTTCATCTGTGAACTCGGCCCACAGGGAGGCCTCAAACTTTTCATGGAGTGTCTCAGCAATGACACCGAAGAGTCCAAGCAGCTCCTGTCTATGCTCATGCTCTTCTGTGATTGTTCACGGCACCTCATCACGTAATTATTTGGGTTGGGTTTTATTCCATTGGTTTTCAATTGCACCCGTTCATTCGTTGTCGTCAATGTGATTCAGAATCCTAGATGACATTGAAGTCTATGAAGAACAGACCTCCTTCAAAATAGAGGAGCTCATCACTATCTCCTCATTTCTGAACACATTTGTGTACAAAATGATATGGGATGGTACTCTTGGTGAGTGATCCGGTTTTCTGTTGCGCTACTGAAATGGGTATGTCTGGAATTGTTCACTTTTATAATAAAAATCTCTTGATAAAATAAACGGACGCAAACAGACCACTTCATAATAATAATCAAACGAGTTGCCATGCAAAAGTGGTCAGAAAAAAAAAAAGTCAAATTCCTACAGAAAGATGATTTGATTCCTTTTTGTGAGCTACAGTATATTCAGAGTTATAAATGACATTTTTTTTTTGAAATCATTTGAGTTGTCGTTTGCTGTGGTGTTGCGCTTCTCTGCATGAAGCATAACGGGAAATAGTGAAGCCCATTATACCGTGCAGGAGTAGCTAATGTTGCAATACAGCAATTGCTTGTCTTCCACAGCAATGAGCAAAACTTACTCTTATGTGTCTAACAGAGAACGCAAAGGGTGAGAAACTGGAGTTATTCCACAGCGTTCACGGATGGTTGATGGTGCTTTACGAACGCGACTGCAGGCGAAGATTCACCCTGGATGACCACTGGTTACGCAAGTAAATTCAAACTAAGAATGTGTCTCTGTGTTTGAAACGGGGATTAATTTGAAGCGCTCATCTATTTCATCTTCCATCTGTTGCATTCAGGGACTTAAAACCCAGCTTGTTGTTCCAAGAGCTTGAGAAAGGCAAGAAAAGAGCTCAGCTGATACTGCAATATATTCCACATGTTATTCCTCATAAAAATGTGAGTTTATTTTATATATTCATGTACATTTTTTGATATTGTATCCAGTCGCTGATGGTGTCGTGGTTACACTCGCCTGACTTATGTGCGGGCAGCGTGGGATTGATTCCCACTCAGTGACGGTGTGGATGTGAGTGTGAATGGTTGTTCGTCTCTATATGTGCCTGGCGACCAGTTCTGGGCGTAGTATGCCTTTCGGACTTGTGGGTGGGTCTGGAATGTATACCCATGATGAACGAGGATTCGCTCTAAATAAAAAAATCCTACATTAGCTTGCAGACTTCAGTTAATTAACAAATGGTAATGAAAGGAGGAGCCGGTAATGTGTGTGTCTTGACATCATGACAAAATTCTGGTCTGAACAAGTTTTTTTTTGTCTATGAAGGCATATAGTGTTTTTGTGCTGCGGTTATTTCAGAGGGTGCTGCTGTTTCGGAATATCGTCACGAAGGAAAAAGAGAATCTTGGTTTAATCGAAACCAGCTCCGCCTCGCCGCATGTCACCCACATTACCATACGCCGTTCACGCATGTTAGAGGTACGGACGCAAATCAGATGGATGATGGTAAATGTTTGTGCCGTTTCCATTAATGTGTGGCCCATATGTTAGGATGGCTACGATCAGCTCCGCCGTTTACCGGTGAATTCCATAAAAGGCGTCATTCGTGTGAAGTTTGTGAATGACCTGGGAGTGGATGAAGCAGGTATCGATCAAGATGGTGTCTTTAAAGAATTTCTAGAAGAGATCATTAAGAAAGTGTTCAACCCCGCTCTCAACTTATTCAAGGTAAGTTATTCATGAAAATAAACAACAACAAAACATTGAAATTCTTGTTTTGGAGGAGTTTCTGCTTTTTTTTTTCGTAATCTCCTCAGACTACGAGTGGAAATGAGAGGCTGTATCCTTCTCCTACTTCCTACATCCATGAGAACCATCTGCAGCTCTTCGAGTTTGTGGGGAAGATGTTAGGGAAAGCCGTGTATGAGGTATTTGTGGCACTTGCAAAAAATCGATTTGTGCTCATTCTGGAACATCGTATAACATTGGGATCTTTTGTGTTTAGGGCATTGTGGTGGATGTTCCTTTTGCCTCTTTCTTCCTCAGTCAAGTGTTGGGTCATCACCACAGCACTTTCTACAGCTCCATTGATGAGCTGCCTTCATTAGACTCCGAGTTTTACAAGAACCTCACCTCCATTAAGGTTTACCAAATCTTCAATTATCATTTGCCACATTTTTATTCTCCCGCAGGTTGTAGATGAGTCTCTGCAGCAGGGGTCACCAACTTCAGTCCTTGAGGGCCATTATCCTGCATGTTTTGGATGTTTCCCTCCTCCAACTCACCTTATTGAAATGATCTGTTCATCAGCAAGGCCGATAAAGATCCTGATCATTTGAATCAGGTGTTTTGGAGGAGGGAAACATCTAAAACATGCAGGAGAGGGAGCCCTCGAGGATTGCGCTGGTGACCCCCGCTCTACAGGATAATTCACCTTTTGTGTGCATGTTTTACAGCGCTATGATGGAGATGTGGGGGATTTGGGACTCTCGTTATCCTATGATGAAGATGTTATGGGACAGGTAAGGATTGAAACAAATCAATCCCTCACAATGTGATACACAATGTTTTCAGATGCCAGTACCTCAATTTGTTTAGATTTAAAAAAAAATAAAAAATCCTCATGAGAAATTTGATCAATCTATTCCAGCGTCAAACTATAGCTGTTATATAATTGTGTGGAAAAAAATAAACAGTGAAGCATTGATATGTTAAATAAGAAAATGCTCTTAACTCTTACAACAACAGCTCTGGGATTAAAAAAAAAAAATGGACATGGCATCTTTTTCTGAGAATTTTGGTTGCATCTCAGCGACTTGTAGTCCATTTCAACCACAATAAATTGCTGTATTTTTCCGCGCAGCTTGTTTGTCACGAGTTGATACCCGGAGGGAAGACCATGCCTGTCACCAATGAAAATAAGTATGTTTAGTCATTATCAAGGTTTTAAAATAAAAAAAGCGTATCAATTCTATGATTGTAGTTTGACTCATTTGCTTTGCAGGTTCAGCTACATTCATCTTATGGCCCACTTCCGGATGCACACTCAGATCAAGGAGCAAACCGCCGCTTTCATCCGAGGCTTTCGCAGCATCATCAACCCAGAATGGTTGCACATGTTTTCGACACCCGAGGTCCAGCGCCTGGTCTCAGGAGATAACGCTGAAATTGACTTGGATGACCTCAAGTACGTACTTTATTTTCACCCTCCAGCGTCCCGGCACGATTTCTGATTTTCTGAAGTGTTGTGATATCAATTTAAAAGTGTGAGGTTAAGTTTTAGGTGACTGTCAAGAGTTGGAGCACATGATTTGTTTTAGTTCTTGCCTTCTAAATTGTTGCCATGTTATCTGTATGATTAAGGAAGCACACGGTCTACTATGGAGGTTTTCATAGCAGCCATCGTGTCATCATCTGGCTATGGGACATTTTGTCCAGTGATTTCACAGCTGAGGAGAGGGCAATGTTCCTCAAGGTATGCTCATTTCCGGTCTGTTTTCGACACCCGAGGTCCAGCGCCTGGTCTCAGGAGATAACGCTGAAATTGACTTGGATGACCTCAAGTACGTATTTTATTTTCACCCGCCAGCGTCCCGGCACGATTTCTGATTTTCCGAAGTGTTGTGATATCAATTTAAAAGTGTGAAGTTAAGTTTTAGGTGACTGTCAAGAGCTGGAGCACATGATTTGTTTTAGTTCTTGCCTTCTAAATTGTTGCCATGTTATGTTTAGGAAGCACACGGTCTACTATGGAGGTTTTCATAGCAGCCATCGTGTCATCATCTGGCTATGGGACATTTTGTCCAGTGATTTCACAGCTGAGGAGAGGGCAATGTTCCTCAAGGTATGCTCATTTCCGGTCTTTTTCATTTGTATCACGACGTGCCTCCTTGAACTCATTTTTGCTCTTGTGTAGTTGGTTCCCAGCTGCTCAAGCCCTCCTCTCTTAGGTTTTGCCTACCTCAAGCCACCTTTTTCAATCCGTTGTGTGGAAGTGTCAGATGATCAGGTGAGCGTGTTGCTAAGTATTATTTATAGAGAGGAAAAAAAAGTACCGGTACTCAAGCACCAACCACTAAAGCAGGTTTTGTAAAAAGAAAACTACAGTGGCTTTTCTTACTGTCTGATGTGTTTTATTTTTTGAATGGTGCAGCATACCAAAGCAGATACCTGGGGGATGCATTGCGCTCATTGTCATAAGTGCGCTGATGCAAAGATTTGGGCACAAAAAAAAAGTTAACATTCAAATGTATTTGTTTCTGTAAGAGAAGTGGAAATCTTGACAGCAACCACAAATAAGATTACCCCCCCTCATAGATTGTCTTGTTTTATGGTACACAGGCATACAGTAGCATAAACAATATGATATGGTGGCTCTGTGCTGACATATTGTGTTCAAAATCACATTGTAGACGTTTAAAGGTCCCACAGATGCTTTGTTGCTGAATGCAGAAGTTGTACTTGCGCCATATTGGAGGATGGCTGGTGGGATTTTGTTCACAAACGTTACTCAGCAGTCAAATCCTTTCAGCTAATGTACTGCACACATTTTCACTGTAAGCAGATGGCAATAATTAGCCGAAATAAGCGGATCGATTTTTTTTTTTCCTAGTCACATCACTCATCTGGCAGGTGACATGTTTCTGTAGAAAACTCATCGGGCTCAATTATGCACACATGGACATATGGCAGTCATCTTTACTAAGCTATATAAGTAATTTACAATAAAATTCTAAAATTCTTAATGTTGCTTTGCTTTGGATACATATTATTAAGAGAGAAACGGGTAGTTGCTGGATTCGATTTGCAACTGGCCAATACTGTTATCTCACAATTTTTAAAAATTGTAAATGATTATTTTTTTAAACCATCTGGAATGTTCTTAAATAATGCTACACAGGTTCTGAATGTGTACCGTAGTAAAAAAGATACAATGGACATTGTTTTTGTCTTCAGTCTATATATAAGTAATTTACAATAAAATTCAAAAATTCTTAATGTTGCTTTGCTTTGGATACATATTATTAAGAGAGAAACGGGTAGTTGCTGGATTAGATTTGCAACTGGCCAATACTGTTATTTCACAATTTTTAAAAATTGTAAACGATAATTTTTTTAAACCATCTGGAATGTTCTGAAATAATGCTACACAGGTTCTGAATGTGTACCGTAGTAAAAAAGATACAATGGACATCGTTTTTGGTTGATTTCACTTCATCCCCGCCCTCTTAAAGACCGACTGTCTCGTTTTTAATCGTTTATGAACATGGTGTGAATGAAAAGATCGAAGCTATGCTTCATTTGGGATGGAGCACCACAATTTCTGGGCGTGAGAGAGCCATTGATGATCTTATTAATTTTTTTTCTTTTTTTAAGAACAGAAGCAATGTCTTCTTTGCATCTTTTATCCATGACAAAAATGCCTGGAAATGTCTTGTCGTATCTCACGTTGACTGCTGTTTTCTACTTCATCCTAGAAAAGCAGAGCTTTGCTCACTACGTTTTAAATAATGCCGAGTGCCTCATGTATCGCCATCTTCTCCTTGCTCTCACCCTGATCTGGTCACCTGTTACAAGTCAAACCACTAATGTTGAATATTGGAAACAAGCCATAGAAGCAGGGGCTGGTCTCTGAAACCCAACTACTGTACTAATACTACAACACAATAATCTTGGGCTGACACGATGCTCTCTATGGACTTTCTAAGCCATGTGCTGAAGAATGATCTGTTCTAACAAGCCTCTCAACATGATGTCATGGACTGGATCTCCAGCCTAATTGGACTACTTGTTCCTTTGGGTGGTCACGTCGTGGTAAAGTGTTTCTGCCCTTGGGTAGTTTTTTGGGCTAAGTGTCATCTTTCGGGGATTTACCAGGAAGAGATATGCACAAGATTGTAAAAGTAGGCTTAAAATCTCAACCAAATCTGTCATTATGCAAAAAACAAACAAATAAACAAAAAAACACCCATTACCTACCATTATACAGGTCAACACTACTGTCTTACTAACCAGCAATTTGTGTGAAAACAACACAGTTTGGATTAAAAGGCAACAATTCTACACAGAATTAATTCCTGTCCCTCAATATCATATTTACCCTAATATACTGTGGATGTAAGTCGGTGTACCCCTGTTCAATTGCCATTTTTTTGTAATATGAAAAAAGGAGACAAAGAAAAAAAAAAACTTTTCCACCATGTTGTACCTGTAACCTGTGCAATTCAAGTGAGGAGGGGGAAAAAAACATTTTTTTAAAAATCACAAATACTAACATTTGAACGGGGTTGTAGACATATATCCGCTGTCCCTCATTGTAATTATTGAACTGCAGGTTCCAAAATGGTATGTTCTCAAATACATTGGCTTTGAGATACCAACCCGTGACTAACAAATGTACCCTTAAGGTACAACGATTGCCTTTTTTGTGAGTGTTTTAAAAATCACAAATACTAACATTTGAACGGGGTGTGTAGACATATATCTGCTGTCCTTCATTGTAATTATTGAACTGCAGTTTCCAAAATGGTATGTTCTCAAATACATTGGCTTTGAGATACCAACCCATGATTAACAAATGTACCCTTAAGGTACAATGATTGCCTTTTTTGTGAGTGTTAATTTTAAATACACACACACACACACACACACACACACATATTAATGTTTTTTTTTTTTTAATGTCAGTCTGTTCTACGCAATTACATTTCATGTAAGATGATAACCTCAGAAAATGGTTACAACTTACTCGTCTTTTTTTTAATAACATGTATAATATATATTTTAAAGTCTTAACATATTTGTCTTTAGGAACTTTATTATTCTTCAAATATCCAATGTTTTCTCCGACTAGCTTGGAGACATCAAATTTGGTGGCATCTATTAGTGACTTGATAATTTTCCAAAAGCATATCTTGCTCTAGTGGCCTACCATACAAAATATTGTGAATAACTGGTTGACATAAAAATGTTGTGGAACGTTCTAAAGTCTACTAATGCGACTTGCTTTATCTGGGCCTGATTTTTAAACGTGCTTAGAAAATGAAAAAGAAAAGCGCTGTTTCTTTTCACAAAAGATAAACGATAAGATTAGTCGGTGATTTGGAAGGATGTCAATGGAAGAATATAAGCCACTTAGTGTGCAAGTCCACCCCCAGAGCTATTGTTCCTCATCGTGTGAGAGAGTGTCTTTCGATTGTACTATGGATGTGTTCAAGAGCGGTTCTTGTGTAAAGTTTGTCATGTTTGTAAAATACGTTTTCCTGTCATGTTAAATCATGCGCACTGGTGTGATATAAACTATTTGCTCCAAAGTTTTTTTTCTCCCCCCTTCTCAAATCAATTATGTCTGATTGCAAGCAGCTGCTGTATGAGCGAGCAACACTGCATGCAAACACAACTGAACCTAAAAACAGGACGCCATTTGGATTGAGAATGACTCCTGAGAAACACATTGGGAGCTTTTCCTGAATAATTATTTCGTGAATGCACACATACTTCACAGTCCTCCGCACTGTGGCACACTTCATGAGAGCCCAATTGAGCTCAGAACAAGTAATAAAGCCATGAGCAACCCGCCAAGCCCTTCTCCTGCTAACTGGTTCAAATCTCTACGACGGTAAGTTTAAAATTTAATTCGTCAATCGGTTTGGTGGTGGGTGAGTAAGATGCATGTGATGCTAACTGTGGCTGATCTCCCCTTGATTCAGCCCTCTTGTTGTGCGCATCACCTGACTAGCTGGAGGGCTTTATTGGGATTTTCACTATACCCCAGTGCTTGTAGGGCTTTTACTTCACAAGCTTACCAGTTAGAATGAGGAAGTCCAGCACTGGAGAGCTTACTAGAATAGACATGAGTACAAAGGCAAAGGCTTGCTCTGCATGTCAAAGGAATGGCCGTTTAACATGTAGAAGGTAGGCGTGGGATCACTGTAGCTGAAGGCTGAGTTGATTCTGATGAGTGCAATAATAACTGGCTTTTGGATGTTAAAGGACCAGGCTAGGCGAGCCATGTTTGAAGACGTACCCGCTGCAGTACGAGGAGCAGCTTAAGAGAGCCCGGGTGTCCTTCCAGGCCAGGCGCAGCATCAAGGAGAACTTCAGGCTGGCCCAGCTGGAGGCTGTACTGCGAATGTTGGAGGAACATGAGTGTGACTTTGTGGATGCTCTTGGAAGGGATCTACACAAGGTGAGGGGTTATGATTATTTAGTTATTTATTTTAAGGAAGTGAGAACTGATTTTGAATTCAATTTTTTTTTTAAATCCCCTGTCTTGAACTAGCCACGATTTGAGACCGTTGTCTCAGAGTTGATTCCGGTTAAAAACGAGGCTCTTCATGCCATCAGCAACCTCAAGAAGTGGATGCAGCCACAGCAGGTGGAAAGAAATCTGGTGAGACTGTTTATGAAAACATTGGGATTACAAATGATTTACACAACCTTTTGGTGGGGGAACATTCCATCAGATTTCTACAAAGAGGTACATTCTTTTGTCAAAGAAGATTAACAGTTGAAGGCTTAAACTCCGTTTTCCTCTCGGTTAGTCCATATGTGAATTGATTGCTGGTGGTCAATCGTCACCAAAATTCATGCACACATCTCTACTCAAAACCACAAAATAGAACGATAGCACCAATAGGTTGGCATTTATGGACATCAACTTCTTCCTCTCTGTAGGTTCTCACTGAAGTTTTGGCAAAACCTTGAAAGTGATATTGATATGCATTTGAAAAGAGTGTTCAAATATAACGGTTTAATTTTTGTCGAATCACTTTGCCAAGAAGGGCCAATCCTAATCTCGATTTTATCAGGGTTAAGAAGCAAAACATTTATCTCAGCAAGGCACGCCTCGAGATTACAGCAACTGCATGAGTTAGTTACAGCATATACAGTTGAGTGTCATCAGCATAACGGTGAAAACAGTGAAATTGTCATATGATGTCACCGAGCAGAAGCATGTAGATGCTGAACAAGAAAAGGCCAACATATACAGTATTGCCTCATAAATTCCACTTTTAACGACTATCTTTGAACATGTCTACTTGGCTCAGTCCACCACACTGGATGAGTGTCTTGTGGTAAACGAGCCCCTGGGGGTTGTGTTTATCATGGGGACCTGGTGCAGTCCAGTCCAAATGTGCCTGGTGCCACTGGTGGGAGCCATTGCAGCAGGTACATCTACCCATGACACATTCAAGTGTAGCATATCTCACAAACACGCCGGATTTATTTATTGTACAGGTAATTGTGCCATCATCAGTCCTTCTGTATGCACGGCCCACACAGCAGCACTTCTCCAACGTCTCATCCCTTCCTACTTGGACAATGTGAGTAGCAGCAGTACTAGTCATTAGTTCTAGGAATCTTTTGAAAAGATCACTGAATATTTGCTGTACATGTTTCTAGTTGGGGCTCTAAATGACCCAAGACACCTAATGAGATCTATTGAGGGTTGTCAAAATTATATAAGATCTGGTGCTCTGTTTTGAATGCCAGTGTCAGGGATGTATTTGTTTCGCATGTTGATTCATGTGGATGTGATTTGCCGTGTGTAACTGCAGTACAGTACAACATACTGAGATGTTTTGTTTACTTTACGGAGCTATGAAAGGGCCAAACATAGTGGACGGTTCTTTGTTGTTGCGGTGTAGCTCTACACCACGAGAAAACACAACCACATGAATGAACACATTGTTCATTCATTAATCTGAGACATTGATTGATTACTTTTGGCATTTTATCAGGATGCTAAACGTTTGTTTTGGAATACAACAGATACATTGTCCATGATGTTCATGTAATGATCTACAATTCTTGTTTTCCTCAAGGAATGCTTCCATGTAATTCTTGCAGGGACCAATGACTTGGCTGACATTGTGGAACTTAAATTTGATCATGTCTTCTTTTCTGGTGAGAAGTTCAGCGACCCAATACACCCCATCTTCAAATCATCGTTGGCATACAGTATTTAATCAATGTATGATGTTACAATTCAGGAACCAGAGAGGAAGGTAGTCGGATCGCTCAAGCTGCAGCTCAATGTTTGACACCCATTACCCTTGTTCTGGGTGGGAAGAACCCGTGTTACGTAGACCAGCACTGTGATATTACCATCACGGCACAACGTATCGCCTGGGCCCGCTTTCACAATTCCGGGCAGAGCTTGGTGGCCCCTGACTACATCCTGTGCCATTCGGATGTAAAAACCCGTCTGGTCCAAGCACTGAAGTGCTGCCTGATGCGGTTCTATGGTTCTGATCCCAGAGAATCCAGCAGCTTTTGCCGCATGGTTAATCTGGACATCTTTAACCGTACGAAGGACTTGTTGTGGAGGTCTGGCAAGGTGGTCTTAGGTGGACAGGTGACAGAGGCAGAGAAGTATATTGGTGAGAGCCCCCACACACAAACAAACAAACAAAAAAATACTGACAGTGTCAAAAATATTTGACTGAAATGTGTTTGTTCTGTCTAAAGCCCCAACAATTTTGACTGAAGTTGATGAGTCGGACCCCATTATGCAACAAGATCTTTTTGGGCCAGTGCTTCCAGTTCTCTCTGTAAACAACGTGGATGAGACGATTGCCTTTATCAACAAACAAGAGAAACCCCTCTGCGTGTATGTGTATTCCAACAACAGCAAGGTATGTGGTAGAACTTGAGTAGACTTAAGATCAAAACTTTTAACTTTTGGTTGCTATCATAACCTTTAAATATCGATGTCATTTCTTATTTATTTTATTATTTTCAAGCAGTTGTAAGTGCATGATTTCGGCGGTCTCATGCAATATACTGACATTCCATGTGAAGTCATACATGAGAATGTTCCATCCTTTAGAATGTGTTGCTAAAAAGCCACACAGACACACACGCACACACCTCCAGTATGAACCCTGAATGCGCTGTTTTCAATATTAGCCCTACCCCTTTTTTAAATCATTTTTCAGCCAAGTAAACCCTGATCTGACCTGTGCAAAATCATTTTTAAAGAATGTCAAAATGTAAATTTAGATTGCAACAACTTCTTCGTCCCATTTATTAAACGGCCTTAAAAAATACTTTTTGCATCAATCATGAAATTCATGTTGCAGCTTGTCAGAGTAAATCCTATTAAAAGCAAGCAAGAAAAAAAATGGCAATACTGTATGACATTGTTTTTCTTGCTTACTGCCAGATTTTATTTTCTTGCTTTGTGTTTTCTACATTATAGCCGGTAAATTAAAATGTGTGCACAGCTGACAAACGTCATGAATGTGACTCCGTAAAAGATTACTCTAAAATGAGATTTTTTTTTTTTTGTATTTTGAATTTGTGACTGAGTTATTTTTCTGACAGTTTTCTTAAAAAGAATATCCCTTAGCACTAGTCCTCTCATTTGAGAAACACTATTTTATTGCTCTAAACTGATAGTTTACTTTTTTTTGTGACATTTGAGGCATTCACTTGTGCAAGTTCAATGACATTCAACTTGAGGTTACTCTGTACATTCTGAACTGGCCATACGATTCTCCTTTTCATGTGTTGTTTGTGACAATGCAGGTGATTTCAAGAGTCATGAGTGAAACATCAAGTGGAAGCTTTTGTTCCAACGACAGCACCCTGCAGAGTCTGATCGTGACGCTGCCTTTCGGTGGAGTTGGTGAGTTTGGATGTGTTAGAAAATTAACCTGGCAATATATCAAATGTGATTTGTTTTTGGGGACAGGTGCCAGTGGAATTGGTGCCTACCATGGACGCTACAGCTTTGATACATTCTCTCATAGGAAGTCATGTCTGCTAAGAAGCACGCACTTGGAATGTGTCACCTCCCTGCGCTACCCACCTTACGATGACCGCAATTTATCGCTCATAACGTGGGGCAGTAGCCTCTCCTGGAAAAGCCAGGGCTGGTGTCACATCCTGTGATTTGTGCGGAAGGGTCTAACTGGAACCTAACTTTCAATTCAGAACTCAATGTGTAATTGTGCCAATATGACAAAATGACGGCTGAAATACAATGAGAAAGGAGGGTAAATTGATTGAGACGAAGTTGCCATAGCTGTCAATGATTGCCTTGACTGATGACTGACAGAGAGGATACATTTCAATACTTGAATGATGCAAGTGGATGTTAGTTTTGCAAAGCTGTGCATTCTCACTGAAAGCTTTCTATAAAGAAGATTCACCCGAACAGATGTTTTGATCTCATGTATAATTAATATAAAATATGCACATGACTGTACAGCCCAAATATGTATGAAGTGTTTTATTATAATCAAGTATTATTCAGGTCTTTTGTAGATTATCTCCTTGTTGTTTTCTTTTAGGGCGGCATATCTGGCCACAGTGAAAAGGTAGTCGCTTAATCTGTGTGGGAAAATATTGAGGCATTAATCAGTTATGTTGAAAGATGGCATAATGATAATAGCATTTTCTTGTCAACTAGAGTGCACTTACCTGTTTAAAAACCTGGCAATATCTGGATCAGCCTCCCCAGAGCGCACAATTGGAGCGACGCTGTAATAGGAACGCAGATACTGTAAAACACTACTAGAATTATAATAGATGACTGTTGTTCACCAAAAAGGGATGTGCACAAACTGACCTGCGTTCAGCTCTGCGACAGACAGTCCGAGCTATATGTAAAGCTGCGCTGCTCTTTCCTCCAGACTGTTTTGCACACGTGTCCAAAAAAATTACATCAACAGTTGCATGCGGACAGTAATTAAATGCATACTGTGACTTACGCACAAACTGACCTGCGTTCAGCTCTGCGACAGACGGTCCGAGCTATATGTAAAGCTGCGCTGCTTTTTCCTCCAGACTGTTTTGCACACGGGTCCAAAAAAATTCCATCAACAGTTGATGCGGACAGTAATTAAATGCATACTTTGACTTACAGGTAAAATAAAGTTGGTGAGAGGAGGGAGTTCCTCTGTGAATGTATCAATCCAGCCTTCCAAATCTGTTATTGGCGTTCCAGAAAAAATTGTCCGCGCTTAACAAACAAAAAAAAAAACATATTTTGACCAGAATGCATTTAGCCACTTGAAACATCAGTGGCACCAGCCTTCCAAATCTGTTATTGGCGTTCCAGAAAATTTTGTCCGTGCTTAACAAACAAAAAAAACCATTTTGACCAGAATGCATTTACTCACTTGAAACATAAGCCGCTAACACATGTACATACTTAGATGACTTTCTCTTGCTGAAGACTGAGGAGTGGCAATATTGGCGCCAACATCTTGCAAAACGCACTGTATCTGAGTAATAAAAATTGCCGTAGGTCACTTTAATGCCATCAAAGAGCCAACATCTTGCAAAACGCACTGTATCTGAGTAATTAAAATTGCTGTAGGTCACTTTAATGCCTCATCAAAGGAGTGATGTCAGATAAATCTCACCTTATCCAGCTGATACGTGAATGTATGGCCTTTCTCGTGGCAAAATTCTCTGGCCAAGCTGCAACAGTAAATACAATTTGACAAATGTAGGGAACAAAAGCAGCAACTTGTTCACTGTACAGTGTTTAAACGTTTCTTACCCTATTGCTGATGACAATTCATCTGTGTTTCCTAAAGCTTCAAAAATACGATCTTCCTTTGGTCTTCTTTCGCCAGTAAATGTGCTTGAGAAACCTTGAAGGCGAAAAAAAAGCAAGTCACTATGTATATCAGTGGAGCGTCTATTTTCTCAAGTTGCAATAAAAACCTTTGTCGCCTGTTTTGGTATAGATTTTGGGAACTCTGTTCTCTCGATCGGTGGCGTAACTGTGAAAAGGAAAGATTGATCTCGGTGTCAAAATGATGAAAAGGTCGGAAAAAACACATCTGTAGCTTAAACGTGCTTTCCGATACAACAAATACAGACGTCTGTCGCTAGCCTTTGCACAACGACCATCACCTTCATTCTTTACGAAAGCAAACATTACGTCAATGGCATATCACAATTAAAGTTCTGCAACCTTCTCCATAAGAACGGCGTTTCCCTTGTCTGTCGCCCTCTGATTTGCTTGATGCTGTTTAAAAAATAGCACAAAATCGAAGGTTTGCGAACAAACGTAGCCATGTTTATCAATGTTGGACTTAAACGTCCTCTCGCGGCGTCCGTAGCTCTTCAAGGGCGTTTCATTTTATCGAACGATTGGATAACTCAGGGAATGGCTGGAGGAAACACAGATTGTGATTGGTTAAGACCGATGACAGACGAAGAAACGATGTACGCTGATTGGTTAATGTTGGCCGAAAGTGTGCTAGGCTGTCTTCCGTCATGTCAGCTGAGTGTGTAAACTTAGATGTTAGGGGGCTGCGACATTACATCCCACTGAGACCCAACCTGTCGAATGACAATTGCTTTTTACTGACGTTCGCGTACTTTAATAATTTATTAAATCTCCGTTGAGCCCCCATGAAGGCATTGGAGTTAGCTGACTGTTTCGTCTCCAAGGAGATTAGCGTTACCTGCATGTGACTAAGATAGCAACTTGGTTGCACAGCTGCGCTCTTGTGAAATGATGCACATTAGGGAATGCATCGTATCTGCTCCGGGAAAGGCAATTCTTCATGGAGAACACGCAGTTGTGCACGGAAAGGTAATTTGTCAATGAATCAAATCAAGGTACTAACACGTCTCATTAGGTGTAGCTTGCTGTGCATCTCCATGCAGTATGGTGCAGCCACTCAAAGCTTCCTGAACTTTTTTTTAGCGGTGTTCTACAAATAAGAACGTTTTCGCTTCGTTCGTAATAGCGACATTTTAATGTAAGGCGTAGTCATTGTTTCCATAGTTTCAAATACTGCTGATCCAGGGAAGAAACAGAATTTCGTATGAATAAACGATTTGTGTTGATTCATTACAGGTTGCACTTGCTGTGAGTTTGAATCTGAGAACATACTTGAAGTTGAAAGCCACGAACACTGGGAAAGTGTGCATTAACCTCCCAAACATTGACACCTTTCTCTGCTGGGATGTGTCTGAAGTGAAGCATCTTATGCCGTGTTCACGTGGTAAGGAATTCTCCCATGTACAAGATTAAATAGCTCTCTATGGCATTATTTTAATTTTGCATCATCTTGAAATTAATTATTGAGACAAATGCATTAACATTCAATATTAAAATGCTGTCGATCACTGTTCACAACTTTGTAGTAAACACACCTGTGGACTGAATGCTGCATTATTGTCATTTCTAAACACTGTTATCTTACCATTGATGTTAGGCCTCTGTGTTTTGTTGTTGTTGCATTTAACAGGCAAGCAGATGGACTTAAAGCATCTAGATCCTGAACTTGTGAAGAGACTACGTGAATTTGTGGGTGGAGCAAATGGAAACTTTGATACAAGCAACATGGCAACCTTGGCGTTCCTCTACATGTACCTCTCCCTGTTTGGATCAGGGTACGATGCATTTGTTTTTATCAGACATTTTTGTATGCCTCAACTAGCTCAGCTCTGTCTGACTGGAACAGGCCCAATAATCAACTCACCACTCATACACTCAACCCATCGACTGCAGATTATTGCCGCAACTCTTTGTAGTTTACACGGAGAGATGGCATCCTGAAGCCAGACAGTTCGATGCATGACGACCTCTGGTGTGACGTATGTTGAACAATGGAATTGTTCTCAACACAACAAGAAGGGAGAATTGAGTCTTGATTGCGAAACTTCACTCCCTTGGCCTGCCATTCCTGGAATCACTATTTACACAGGCGTTGTCTGACTTCAGACTTTGTTGCAGGTTCTGATTCTTAATCTGGAATATTGGCGGGCCTCCTTGGTCTTCTGATTTCTTGTCCTAGTTGTTTATTACAATAGTGACCTGGAAAAAAAGGTGGGAAATCTTTTCTTTTACAAGCTGTGTAAAACAAGAGAGTGAGCGGAAATTAGTTCTTGTGTTTGTTGCAACTCAGAGTTGTAAACAATGATCACACCAGGAGAGGTCGACCAGATAACAAGTGCATTGTTTCCTAGAGGATGCTTTGTCTTTTCACTTGCATTTTTATAGCACTTTAAAAATGTCAGTCTGCCACTATAAAAATTTGACCAAATGTAGACGGCGTAGCAAGATAATCCGAGAAGATAGAGATGGAGATGCTCTGTTGAGTTTCAGGTCATCAGGATCTTTAATTGCCGTTGACACAAAGCTGGCATGTTTGCCAGAAATAATGACTCCCAAAAGAATGGCTTTTAATAAAAGTCTGGCTTGAAGCCAGGAGACCATCAAGAAACCAGTGTGTGTTTTCTTCTGGAGACAAAGGTTTTACAATTTCCATTCAAACAATTTCCATTCCATTAACGCATGGATGTCAAGCAGAATAAGTCATTGTACTGTTCCCATTGTATGTGACATGTGAACTAATGTCATTGGAAAAGCAGATTTTTTTTCCTTCTTCTTCACGTAAGCGACTTTCTTTTTCTTCCGCGTATAGCGAGCTGCCAAGCTTGACAGTATCCGTGTGGTCGGAGCTGCCGACCGGAGCAGGACTGGGTTCGAGTGCAGCCTACTCGGTGTGTTTAGCGGCAGCTTTACTTTGTGCAAGTGGAGCCATTCCCGCACCTCTCAAAGAGTGGGAACACACTGCCAGGTAATGACGTTATATGTGAATGGAGTCACTGCGGTCTCATCATACTGCCCGGCACATTTGGGTTGAATTCTCAAATGTGCGTTTCACTAAATGTGCACTTATTTTTTTATTTTTTTTTTTGATTCATGTTTATGTGAGGGCGGCCCGGTAGTCCAGTGGTTAGCACGTCGACTTCACAGTGCAGAGGTGCCGGGTTCGAATCCGGCTCCGGCCTCCCTGTGTGGAGTTTGCATCTTCTCCCCGGGCCTGCGTGGGTTTTCTCCGGGTCCTCCGGTTTCCT